ATATCTATATTATAAAGAGTTGTTTGGTAAGCATCATCTTGCTCTATTTTAATTTCTAATTACAATGAAACACATAACATATAGTGACCCACAAGCTTAAACTTAACTGGTTTCCCTGACAGCAGTTAAAAAGTGAGCCTTGGTAAACTGAACCTTATTTTTCCATTAATCTAAAATGTTAGGAGTTCGACTTTTGAAGAGTTCTGGTGACTTAAATCAAACCTCTTTTGTCCTCTCTTTTACAGCTCCTTTTGCTTGCTTATCTGCTTTCTTGTTTGGTGCTCCCTTCTCACCTCTGCTATCTTCCCTCCTTTGCCTCATCCCCAATTGTCTACAGTAGCTGGCTTACTGGGCACTCCCTACTGACATGCAGTGTGTTCTTTCTTCTCTCTCTGTCTTGCTGTTGTGCTTGGTGATGAAAATGCATCAGTTTATAGCAATAGTTGCAGTGGTCATAAAAGTGAGTTTGGGGGCATTAAATGATATGGTAGTCCAGTGGTGCCTCGCAAGATGAACGCCTCACAGGACGAAAAACCTGCAAGACAATTGTTTTTTGCGATCACTATGGTGCCGCGCAAGATGGCTTCTTCTATGGCCATGCTTCGAAAGACGTTTTTTTTCCTGAGACCGATGACTCACAAGACAAAAAATTTTCATTCGTCTTGCCAAGTTCCCATAGGAATGCATGCATTCCTATGAGAAACTGCTTTTTGCAAGACAACTTTTTCGCAAGACAGCTCTTCTCACGGAATGAATTTAATTCGCCTTGCGAGGTACCACTGTAAAAAGCTGGGGGAGTGGAAAACCAGCCATTGTAAGTTATGAGAGTTATGTGTGCTTCCATCATAACATTCTACAGTGGACCCTTGACTTACAGACGGCTTGACTTACAGACTTGAGACTTTTTTCATTTGTCTTGCCAAGTTCCCATAGGAATGCATGCATTCCTATGAGAAACTGCTTTTTGCAAGACAACTTTTTCGCAAGACAGCTCTTCTCACGGAATGAATTTAATTCGCCTTGCGAGGTACCACTGTAAAAAGCTGGGGGAGTGGAAAACCAGCCATTCCAATATGGATTAAGTTCTCAAGTCAAGACCCCACTGTATGTCTTCCAGCCCTTTCTGACTTATGGAGGCCCTAATAGGGTTCATGAGGTCTGCAAGACATTTCAGAAATGGTTTGCCATTGCTATACTTCAGCAAGTTTTTATGGCACAGTAAAGATTTAAGTCTGGTTTCCTGAGTCCAAGGCTAATACCCTATCCACTCCTCCAAACTGGCTGATGAGAAAATAAAATTTTTTAAATGTTATTTGGTGAGCTGACAGATGTACTACCCAGTTAAACACAGAGACAACAATGAAACAGGAATTACCCAAACAGGGGAACATAGAACTACTATATGGGATTATTCACAGCTTGAATTTTATCCCTCACCTAAGCAAAATCCAGTTTCTTGGCAACCACAGTATGGGTATGAAAACAGTACTTTCAGGAAATCATAGGAACACCAGGAAGAACATCTAAACTCAAAATATTCCCATCTTAAAAACAGAAATAAAAAATTACCAGTTTGCCTCGCGATGCAACGGTTATAGCATACTTTATAGTGTATATGAAATGCCAGAAGAGAGCACTCAGCATCTGATCCGCTTCATCCTTCCATGGATGACAGGTCTACTGAGTTCAGTGCCATTTAATTAACTATGCTTAGGACTGGATCATCTATATAGTATTTCAACTGACAGTTTTAAAGTACAAGCATAAACTTTGCTTTTAATATTTCACTGTTCCTATTCTCCAAGTTTACATGAATTGTATTTGCCTATTTAACTGGCCTTGTCATCTTCAGCATGTAACATTTCAAATTCTTTATAATAGTTGTGATATCTGCAGGTGCTTAAACTCCTTGTGATGCTCCAAAATTGCACATTCCCTTTTGAAATCAACATTAACTTTCCCAAAAGTTTCTTCCTATTACTCTTCTGCACAACTTCTTAGAGCAATCAATTTGTTACAGCATCATTATGTACATGCATTTGGCCAATAAAATAAGTTTGATTTTCTAAAATACATTTAAAGATCTCCACTGTTTTTTTCTTTTATGAGTGCCAGAAGCTTTCAAGGCTACTTGCTTTAAATGTATTTTAAAGTGGACACATTGCTTCAAACATTGATTAAAGTATGAGGATATTATTTGCTATGCTTTCTGGGGCAAGGGGCAAATAAACAAAGTACTGTCATAAAACAGTATAGACAACAAGTTCTTCTGCCTAGGTTTTCATATACAGAAAGCTAGTTTCCACAATAAGTAACTATGGTAAAAACAAAATCCAACATTTCTTCTTTGAATCAGTGCAGAGTTAATACCACTAATAACTATGATTACAAAACTGGGAAAGGCCAAATACCTCATGGATTCAATTGCTAGCTTACCACATAAGAATGAGTATTGTGCCACCTTAAAACTAACAAATTTCCATGGATTGCACCTGAAGAAATGGGTTGCACTCCATAAAAGCTTATGCCAAATAAAACGTGTCAAGAAAGAATTAGGAAAAAGCTGTGTGGCTCAGAATTATAGAAATTTTACTAAAAAGAAACTCCACATCTCAGGAGCAAGCAATTGGGGGTGTGTGGTCAGAGAATAATTAGCAAATCCTTCCTTTGGAGTTTGAGATGGAAAATTTCAACCATGTTTACAAGAAAGGATGTTTGAGACTGAGCTTCCCTGCTGAATTTGTAACCTTGGTCTGGATTCACCTCATACAAGCAGACTCTGCAGGGCCATCTGCCATAAATTTGGGGACAGGGGGGAATTCTGCACTATCCACGAAGAGAGGATACACAGCCTGAAAAGTGGGATTTTACCCAGAAAAGGTTGCAATTTGTGCAATTTTTTTAAGTGATTCAATAAAGGTATCACCTAACTCTTGCATCTGAGTAAAACTTGTTAGTTATTCAAAGGCAACAAGACTGTTGTTTTGGGAACAACAGACACATATGACTGGTCTTCTGGAAATAATCTCACAAGGTTATTTATCAACAAGAAATGGTGTACAGATGAAGAGCCCCACAATAATTGAGAAGCAAATGAACAGTGAACTGTACTTTAATAGGGCAAAGTTGTGTGGCTAGATAAAGAAACAAGAAGTGTCTCTAACTCAGGATTCTATTCATGCAGGAGTTAACAACTTTCTATGGAAAGCACAAAAGCTACATCTGAGTGCAACAAGACCCTCCTATTCATGTTTCTATGCAACTGACATTGAGCCAAACATCCTCCAGTATGGGAAAAGACACATATCTATTCTGAGGATGAACCAGTGATGGGTCATCTTCTACCTATATGTACAATCTGCCTCTTAAAACTGTTCAAGCTGGTAGGCACCACTACTTTTTTTAGCAGCAGAGACAAAAATACAGGGGAAAGGAACATACCGTGTTTCTGAATATCCATGTGAGCAAGAAGTTACCAGAAGGGAATGGCTATTGCCTTCAATATCTGGTCAAATTCTATGATGGGCAGAATACCAGACTATGTATATGATCCACTGTGCTGTGTAGGTTCGTATATTAGACCAGGACCCAGAAGAACATACTTAAAGCCCCACTCAATTACAAAATTTACCAGAAGACCTTGAATCATTTAGTCTCTTTTCACCTAACCAACCTCTAAAGAGTGTTGTGTGAACAGAATTGGGGATGGGTACCATGTACTAACTAGAGAGATGGCTCATTGGTTTCACACAGTAAGGATGTCTTTGCACAGTAAGGTCCTTTTAAGAAGAAAGCGGGAGTAAAAATATTTTAAATAAATAAATAAGGAAAAAATGAGGATTGTTCGAAACCATTTACTTTAGGAAGCAAAGCTGAGTGAGGTCCCCCAAAAAGAGTTTACTCCTCAGCCATAAGATGTTAAGGCAGCTTTCAAAGCTGACTTAAGAAGGGGATGCAACCACGAAGGATCACACTGAAATATAACAATCTTTGAGGTGTCACAACATTGTAGTGTTTTTTTTAAAAAAAATCTGATTGGCTAAATTTTCGATCACAAAGCCATTATTAAAGAGTACGTACTTAAGAAGGTCGCCCTTTACTTTGAGGATCCGGCTACTACATCTCCCTCCCTTGGACCTGAACCCACCATCAGCCTCTCGGATACCCAGGAGAGAAGGAAGGCACTTACTCTTTCCTTGCACACGAGATACTATTCTACACCTGGAGCAGATGCCCGAGTACGGAAGTCCTTGACGCAAAAAGGCGCCAGGCCTACTTAGGCTCTCAGTCATGAGGAACTGGCATCAATATTGAGACACCTTCCCCGGCCCTCCTGGAAAAATACTGTACCGGCATCTTTCGAGACTCAGGAGGAAACGACTACAAAAACCACTGCACACGGCCTTGGCTTTTATTGAGTCACTTCCGGTCTTTAAACGGGAAGTTGGGTTTCAACGGCAAGCTGAAACGCAAAGGGAAAGTTACCATAAAGAGGTCGATGGAAAGAGGGACGTCACTGCCTGAAACGATAGGCATTATTTTTACGCCTTCCAAGGATACGTATTTGTGGGTAAAAATGGCGGCTTTCGAGTTTTACCGGAAGTCTGGTTACGTCTAATCCCACCTTATTTGTCAGGTCTATCACTTCGGGAAAAGACATGCTCCCTTGTAAGCATAAGTCTCAGTTTCGAGGTCCCCCCCCCTTTTCTTTATTTCAGCTAGTTTCCTTGATTTCTTTTTTTCCTGAGGCACAGGGTAGCGAAGCAACATTTTGTTTTCACTCACAGAACCGCCCCAATCTCTCTCTCAGGACTACCATAGGGAAAGGATTGCATGGGACTCCAAATGCATAAGCAGTCGCCCTCACTCTTTTCCACTGGTATTGCTCTACGGTTAACCTCAGCCTCCACTTATTGGCTGTCAGACCTTACGAAAAAGTGGGCGGGGTGTGCTCCTTGAAAGCTGATTGGCTTAGAAGCCGAGCGCGTCGTCAATTCCGGACAAAGATGGCGGTGTGAGTCGAGTGTTGCGTCCGGCGACCGGTCTGAGGGGCCTTGGGGCCCTGCGAGTATTCGCTGCGAGCGCGGACGGGGGCGGTTCTGGCCTGCGGCATGTCCGTCTTCCACGACGAAGTAGAGATCGAGGACTTCGAGTATGATGAGGAAACGGAGACCTATAGCTACCCGTGCCCGTGTGGGGATCGGTTCCTTATCACGCGGGTAAGAAGTGGGGGGCGTGTGGCGAGTGGAGGGGCCCTTCCTACCTCTGAGGCCTCGGGGGAGGCCCCGCTTCGCACGCTTCCTTGGGCGCCAACCCCGTTTAGCCGCGATGCGTATTACTCCTGAGGAGGCCAAGGAGAAACACGCATGGGGCCTGAACTTTTTGGTGGTTCTGGTACCCAACTATCAACAGCACAGAAGCTGTTTCTTCCTTGTTTTTATGTACTAAACACTTCTGGGCCCTGCTTGCCCATAATAGCAGCTTACAATGGTAACAATTCATACAGGCTCGTTATGAGAACGGTAACGTCACCGTGAAATAAAAATGCCAGGCAAAACTATACTCCTTCCCACCACCAAGGCCGCCCACCCAACAGAACAGCAGAAAGGAACATCTTAAAATGTTAAGTCTGGCGAAAAGCAGAATAAAAACTGCCTGCTCTTCCTAATAGTGAAAAGAAGATTATTAGTGTGATTTGTGCAAAATATCCTGCTCTTTATGGATGTGTACTTCCCCCCCCCCCACAAATATTGAAAATATCTTGAGGAGGGAAGATAGTCTCAGTGGTTCCCAACCTTGGGTCCCCAGATGTTCTTGGTCTGAAACTTCCAGAAGCCTTCACCACCAGTTATCCAGGATTTCTGGGAATTATAGTCCAAGAAGATCAGGGGACCCAAGGTTGGGAAGGAACAAGGTGTGCTGGTGTAGCTCAGTGAATTGGACCGGAGCCAGGAGTGGTGACTTCATATTTCCACTGTAGCTTCTGGGTAGGGTGGGTGTTAAATGAGATCACCCAGAGCGTGTGTGAATTATCGGGTTAAGTCCCCTGGCACCTGTGCGGTCTTTGGCAAGCTGCATGGTGCAAGAGTGCCACCAGGACTACTTCTAACTACTTTACATCTAGAAAACCCAGGGAACAATCACTGGGTGTCAAAAACAACTTAACAGTGCGTGATTTTTTGTTGTTTTTCAAGTCAAGGTACTATTTATAATTACATTTTTAAGACCATGTAAATGCCCGTGGAATTTGATATGGAAGAAATTAGTTAAGTTACCTGGTCACTCAGCTGTATAAGGTTTTTAAAATACTTTAAAATGAAATAAAAGTTATCACAAGAACCTTAGCAACAACACTGAAAAGCTGCAAGGGACCCTATGGATCATTGAGTCATTCCCCTTTCAAGGAGGAATAGTGAGGAACTGAACTCCCAACCTTTGGCTCCGCAGCCAGGGACCTAAGCCACTGAGCTATCCAGCAGTTTTGCCAGGAAATGAATAAACAGATAATGCAATTATCTTAACACATTCTTTAGGGAAGCTCCTTCCATGTGCCCCATCCAAAACCTGCTCTGTATAAAGAAGAAAATAAATTACTTATTGGTACATCTTGTCCTTGTGGCTAGGAATAAAAAATAAATCTTGACCTACATTTTGGAGAGGCTATAATTCCTGAAATGCAGTTGAGGAAAACCTGTAGACCAGGGGTTGTCAACCCCCGGTCCGTGGCCCAGTGCCAGTTCGTGGGCCTGCCGGAACTGGATCGCGCATATGGATCTCCATGCTCGCGTGGTGGGTATGTCATGCCTACTGCGTGAGCATGGAGGTGCCCCCACCTCCCCGCACATGAGGAGAAAATCAGCAGGAAATATGCCAAATAATACAATTTAATTTAGTTTTGAAACCAGAATTAATTATTTTAAATATTTTTACAAATGAAAACAAGGGTGCCCATCATAAGGATTCTTTGTTTGGCACTGCAGGAAGATCTGGAAAATGGTGAAGATGTGGCTACTTGTCCAAGCTGTTCGCTTATAGTGAGAGTCATCTATGACAAGGTGAGGTGTATGCAGATGGGTGTGGTGCATAACCTTGCACTAGACTCGCATAAATGGGAACATGTGTAGGGTTTTTTCCTAGACAGAGTTTTCTTCTTCTTATGCCCATTGTATACCACCAGAATTAATTTTCAAACTACTGTACATGTAGTCATGTTTGCCTGTCTCAGCATGTTGAGGGAAAAAAGAAAAACATTGTAACACTTTAAAAGCTAACAGTTTTATTTCAGTATAAAATACATTAAAATCTGCTTTCTCAGATGCAGGTAACAGAGACACTAATGTATTTTGATCAGTTAAAAAATTGATACATTGATATTCCAACAAATTTACACATTCATAGACTATAAGGACAAGTTCTTTGATCCCAATAAATTTGTCACATTTAATTCCATAGAAATTATTGACTGACTTTCATGTTTTTCATTGGGAGCTACATATGACTAATTTGCTTTGTATTTAAATCATTTTGAATTTGCAAAGCTGAACTAGTATTATTAAGCATCTCAGTTAAGTGAGTCCTATATAATTCATTGGAATTTAATCTCAAATCAGTGCACAGATTATACAACTGCAAGACTAGATGTGATTCGATTTTCAGAGTTTTTTCTTTGATCACAGAGACTTTTTCTTATAATGGCTATGGTTTTGTTGTAATGGCAGTGGTTGAATAAGCAGTAATTTTAAAGACTTTTATGGGCCCGCAGTGTTTTTGTTTAATGTTATAGTCTTAATACAGTAACATTTACTTATTAAGCATATATTTACATTTTATGAATACCAGTTTTACATTATTATGTAAATTAAGACATATGGGGAGCAGCAAGGTTTCCTAGTACAACACATTCTTTTGTTTGTTAGCATGACTCCTGTTTTCTTATTCTAGGAACAGTTTATGTGTGGAGAGGAAGTCTCGGCACCCACAACAAGCAAAGAACTGGTTAAATGCTGATGGTTGTTTAATAAACTGTTGTTCTTGGGAAACGATGAGGCAATACTTGGGCAGAAGGAACAAGGGCACCTTTTCCAAAGACTGCCTACACTGTTCGGAAGACTGTGTACTTGTAGTAATGGACTGCATTGCATCTGTTTGGAAGGAAACTGATATGTTGAAGGCACTGAATGTGTTTTATGTGCATAACAAGTTCTTAATATTAAAGATACAGCGTATTTTTTCAAATGTGAGATTGAAAACTGAGACAGTTGGCTGTATGTGAAGGTGACTTGGTTTCCCCTTGTCCCTAAATTCAACAAATATGTGTTAATTTCAAATGTTTTAGATTCTTCCTGTCAGTGGGCAGAATGTGACCACGAGGTCCTATAATAAGAGGAGGAAGGCCCTCTTCCATACCAGGTTGATGCTTTCAAGATGATCTGTGTTACAGGAAAGATTTGTTGAAACCAAAATTGTTCTAAGTATCTTGTTAGCTTTTATTATCTGATTATGGAAGAGAGATCAAAGTCTCAGAATCAATCAATCTATAACTTTATGACAGTTTTAAAACTGTCCAATATAGTTAAAACTGTCCAGTTTAAGACCTTTTTCCAGGGACCATAAATTTACATAATTTGTAGATCAGTCGATAAATAGTCCACTGGACCTGTTTAACAGATGGAGGAGGAGGAGTTGTCTCGATATAGAATGTATTTATTATGGTCAGGTGACCAGCCCACGAAACATATCCATGGCTAATACATACAAAATACAGTTAAAAATATACAAACAATTCACAAATCATACCATGTGGCCAAAATACACAAAATGCCCCCGAAGGAGACCATGAATTGTTCAGGCTAAACATGTTGGGTGGTTTTTAAATTGTAATAAAGCTGTGTTTTTATACACCTGAAGACTTTGATTTTTCTTAATTAGATCTGTTGCATGTTACGAGTTCTTTTGTTTTGTTTTTTTAATTATCCCATGCCGAACTATTTTATCTAGACAGACAGAGATTATTTTGAGACTACAATTTGCTTTGGTGGATGAGTAGCACACCTGAATTGTTACTCCAAGATAATGTACACTAAATGGGCTTCGCTCTGTATAAACTAGAGGTCATTTTATATCTGTCATATCAGACATGGTTTCCAGAAATCCTGTTTGTAACTGAAAATCTTGTCATTGCCTGCTAACTTAGTCAGCAACTTGACTTTTTCAGTTGGAGTTCCATTTTCAGAATGTGATTCTGATAGCACTTTACAAGGAAAGTATTTATAGCATTTATTGTACCTTAATGGATTGGTGTTTGTACAGAACCCACTCCAGTTATTTTTTTCTGGATTGTTCTTTAGTAAATTCATATGTTCAAAAATTATTTGGTTGCCCATTCGGCTAGCAATAATTTAATAGTGTTTTTGTTGTCTGTTCAACTAGAAATAATTCATGCTTAAAATCTAATTGCCAAAATCCTGTTGGGCAGTGTCCACCTTTACAGTGGAAATAAAGTTATCAACAGTGGTAGATTGCCTCTGATTAAAGACTCCCTTTTGTAATTTCAACAGGCTTGATAACTCAGTGGTTTAAATATCTGGCTGTGGAGCCAGAGGTTGGGAATTCAAATCCCCACTGTGCTCCCTGTGAGTACAGCCAGCCTGTATGGCCTACAAAGTCCCAGGTACCCCCAGAAGAAGGCAATGGTAAACCGCTTATAAATATTCTGCACATGGAAAACCCTGACGAGGGTCACCATAAGTCAGAATTGACTTGACGGCACATGATGATTATTATTTGTGATTCCATAGTACATATGACTTTCTTGTGTTCTGTATGAGCTTCTGGATTTCACAACAGGATTTCAACCAATATTTTTCTCATCTTGAAGTCTTGTGAATAACTGCAAACCAGTTTCATTTTCACTAGTCTCAACTCTTAAAAGAGATTAAGAGTACAGTGGTGCCTCGCAAGACTAATTTAATTTGTTCCACTGTTAATGTTGTCTTGTGAAAAATCTGTCTTGTGAAACATGTTTTCCCATAGGAATGCATAGAAATCTAATTAATGCATTCCTAAGGGCAAAAAAAGTCAGAAAAAAGTCAAATTTAGTTTACAAAGGGTTTATTAAGTGCTCTTTAAAGCCATACATATCATGCAGATGGTTTTTAAAGTTTCAATAAAAAACTTTAACTTTTTAAACATCATAGAAAAACATTTTAAAATCAGCAAACATGAGGCAGGAAAAAAAACGGAAAACGTTTGTTTTGTGAAGCATGGCCATAGGAACTTTTGTCTTGCGAGTCATCAATCCCATTGCCAAAACCATTTGTCTTGTGTGTTTTTTGTCCTGCAAGGCATTTGACTTGTGAGGCACCACTGTACTTGAAACTAAGCAGCCTGAGATCAGTGTGTACTTGAACACAATGATTGTTACACCTTTCTAGCCTTTTAAGAGCTACTTTTGACCACTGGTTAATAAATGAATGAATGATTTTCTTGGTTGTTTACGTATCTGTGTCAACGGCAGTTACATTTAGTGGCCAACAGGTGGTACTGAAATACTGTGTTCATATCAACATTTGTGGAAGGCTTGTATTATAAATGTAACTGACTGAAGAGGTCAGGGGTTTAGGTGTCTGACTTCAGAGCCAGAGGTTGGGAGCTTGATTCCTTAATGTGCTTCCTGGGAGAAGAGCCAGGCTGTGTAGCCATGGGTAAGTTGCACAGTCCCATGGCACTCCCAGAAGAAGGTACAGTGGTGCCTTGCATAGCAACGATAATCCGTGCAGCAAAAATCGCTGCAAAGCGATTTCGTCGCTATGCGATATTAAAAAGCCCAAAGGAATGCATTGAAAACCCTTCAATGCATTCCTATGGGCTTAAAACTCACCTTAAAGCGAAAATTCTCCATACGGCGGCCATTTTCAATGCCCAGTAAGTGAGGAATCTGCCCCAGAAAACAGGGGGCAGCCATTTCTTTTTACCCGGCGGCCATTTTGGAACTGCCGATCAGCTGTTAAAAAATCACTATGCGATGATTGGTAAGTGAAACGGTACCGCTAATCGCAAAGCGATTTTTCCCTATTTAAAACATCGCACTGTGATTGCAAAAGCAATTGTAAAATCTTTGTCACTATGCGATTGCACCACTGTAATTGGAAACCACTTCTGTGTGTCCTCTATCTAGAAACTCCTGGAAAGACCATGTCAGAACTGCTGGATAACTCAGTGGTGTTTGTATCTGGCTGTGGAGCTAGAGGTTAGGAGTTTGATTCCCCACTATGCCTCCTTGACAAGGGCAGGACTTGATGATCCACAGGGTCCCTTCCAGCTCTGCGGTTCTAAGATTTCTAAGAACTGACTTGATGGCATGCACTTATTTATTGTTATATTATAAATATTCTGCATTTCAAATTAAAATCTTTTTCTTGCAATAGATGGTATTCAACTTTTGGGGGATATTTTTAGTAGAAATTGCTGTTCTTACCTTACATTCCGTTCTGACCATGAAATTTAAAGTTTGTATTGTTAACAGAGTAGCTGTTATGCCATCCAGTCCAAAGCACACAGATTCCTGGAATGTCACAGTGGCATACTGACCTGTTAGACTGGGTCATTTAGATCTATTGAGCAACTAAACTGATATCCTACTTGGTGTGTTGGCAGTAAAGCTGAGCACATTTTGGAGTGTTGTGCATCTTCTTACATAGGAAGTTTCATTATTGGAATATGTGATGATTCTGAAAGTTCCTAAGTAGAACAAACTGATCTTGGTATGAAGTCTTTTGGCAAATGTGACAATCCTCTAGTGTGATAACTATTATAGAGTGGCTAGAGAGGCTGGTGAACTGATAATCCTGTAGATTTATACAGCATCCTCACTCAGTTGGCACTGTATGATAAATTTTTAAAATATATAATCCTGAAAGAAGTCAGCTTTTATTTGTGTTGGAGAAGGAGCAGCCTATTTTTATATGATTGCAAACAATCTGGACTAGAGTTTAGGGGGGAAATTATTTTGGATTATAACTTCTAAAAATCTACTTCCCACCATGGTGCTGTGTTGCATGAAAAGTTCTGAGAATTACAGTCCAAAAAAGTAACTTTTCTAAGCACTGGTCTAGACTTTTCATGTGATCCAAAATCACAACAAGGCACTGATACAACACTTTTGAGGGAATGACAGCATCACATAGTAGCAGAAACTGCGCACCCCAGAGCCTGTGACAAATGTCGTGGCAGAAATTGGCCCTCAATGTTCTTGACTGACTACAGCAGTTGGACCCTGGCTTAAGGCCATTTATACTTTTCTACCTATATGTGCTATATAGTCCTGTATCACCTTAAATACATCTAGTCTCTTCTGAAGCCAAGCAAGTTCAGGACTTGGTTAACACTTGGACGGGATCTCAAGAGAGGGATCTCCAGGTAAGGCTAGGAAGGAATCTTGCCTGAAACCTTGGAGAGCTGTGGTAAAAAAAGAAAGGAAGAAAGAAAGAAAGAGAGAGAGAGAGAGAGAGAGAGAGAGAGAGGGTATTGGACTTTATGAGCCAAGGTTCTGACTCTGTGTGAGGCAATTTCTTGTATTCTTAAATTGTCCCAAAGTTCAAGCATAATACTGTTTGAAAGTCCTCTCATGTAAATAAACAAAGTTAAACAAAACCCTTTTTGGAGAAAGCTCATATATCACAGTGAAGGTAAGTTGCCTTCTTTCTAGCATTCATTATTGACTTACATATACTTCCAGAACAGTAAATAAGAAAAGTTGTTATTCCGCCTGATATGGAATAATAGAATGACTCACACTATGAAATGCCATTTGAGAACCAGCTTGCTTACACCAATCCTCTGTATCAGTGAAGTCTCACCTCTGGACTATTCACCTGTGTCATTGCTTTTCCAAAGTAAGATGGAGATAACTATAAATAAAATTTGCTTTCATTTCCCACAATAGTTAGAGTAATTGCTGATTTTCACTGTTAATTGGTTATGGATTTGTAAATTTCCCACAGATTTTGATACATCTTGCAGCAAACATGATATTCTGAATGGTCTATGTTGCCAAAAATGTTACCACCTGTGCAGATAGTATTTGCAAGCCTGGGAAACCCAAGGCTTCTAGAGATACAAGAAAATGTGAGTTGTTCCCTTCCCCCCTAAAAAAATCTAAGGTGAGGGAATCTTCTGTGCTATTAAACAACCCAATGAGGTGTGATAATATCCACAGTGCTGGCAGGACACTGGATGGTGGTTGGAGGTAGCAAGAAGTAGAAACCCAAGTCCTGAGAATCCTGGGAGAGGGCAAGTTTGGCCAAAACCCTTAGCAATCAATATGTACACAACATGATCACAATTTTCTGGAAAGTGGGTACAGATGTACAAGTTAATAAACATTGTTCCATTTTGTGCCACTTGGTCCTTCTCTTTACCCTGCCGCATATCAGATAAGTTCAGGATGTAATATGTACACAACATGAGCATAATTTGCTGGAAAGTGGGTACAGTACAAATGTACAAATTAATAAACATTATTCCATTTTGTGCCACTTGGTCCCTCTCTTTGCCCTGCCGCATATCAGATAAGTTCAGGATGATGTGTCAGAAATAAGCTTGTTTCTTTCATTCGGCCTCTTTCAAACAGGATTGAGAAATAAAGTGTTGTTTCACCTCCAGAACTCTCTGGGTGGTTTAGAACATAATTATGTTTCAGCCTCTTTCAAACAGGATTGAGAAATAAATTGTTGTTTTGTCT